TAGATTCTGTACTTAAGGATTTTCTTTCTTCTTAAATAAATAAAGAGTAAACGAACAATTGCAGAGTCCAAGCTTGAATCCTAACACTTCCTGTTAAACCCTGCAAAATAGTGTAAGGAACATGTTTGGTCTGCTTTCTAAGGCTTGATGATGTGATAGAGAGGATGTTATATGTAACATCAAAGAGTGCTGTTGTTATACCTCTGAAGCATGACTTCTGGAAGTCCAAGTGCAATAATATATGTTCATTTTTCTCCTGAATATGGATGATTTTAACAGGCTTGGATTCTTATCAGAAAATTTCCAACAATTTCCTTCATTGTGTTTGTGTGCACTTTTTTTAGCCTGGCCAAATTTCTCTCACACTTCCCCAATCCCTGTTAAGTGATTCTCTGCTGGGTTTAGTTAAGAGCGCAGTGCTGAGCAAATACCGAGCTGCCAAAACCTGCCAACCAACTACTGGTGATGAGAAAATGTTTCTRCTCTTTAAGCTCATGGTGAATGTCACTGTTTTATTTATTTTTCTTCCAAACCACAATACTCAAGTGGAAAATGATAATGTTAGGATAGTGAACAGGCCTGAACAGTGCTTAGGACTTAAACATATCGGGTATGGGAGGCACGGGATAGATGTTAAGTTTTGCCCTTGAAGTCTGTATCTGCATGTTAGCCTTGAAAGCCCAGACATCGCTCTTGAAACTGCCTTCTTTAGACCTGGATGTGATAATCTAGGAGCAGAATTTAGATTTGTATATTTACTTTATTTACATTTTTTTTCCACTTAGACCAATTATAGACCAGTTTGTGAGATACTGGTATTTGCAGTTGAAGAAAGGCCTGCCGAAAAAAATGTGTGATGCAGCAAAGCTAAACTAAAGGGCATGACTAGATTAACTTCTCCATGTCCTCTGCTGTAGTGAATGCATTCCAAGTATATTATATTTTCCATCTTCTATTCATGCCAGTGGAGCCTGAGGGGAAGAGATCTTGTTTGTTGTAGCATGACTATACTGTTCTTGCAGRGTGTTTTCATGATTGTCCTCACCCCATCTCCATTAATTGTCTACATGACATGCTCGGATGCTGGCATGCCTGGCAGAACTTAGGGCAAGTCAGTGCCTTTCCCAAGATGGGAGATACTAGCTCTGAGGAAGTGTGTTCGCTCTGAGGATTTTTCAGCAACTGTTGACTAGAGATCGCTGCAGCGGTTAGCTCCGAGGCCTGCTGCATCATTGTACTCTCCTCGGTAGCATAAGAGAGATTTTATAAAAAACAAAACTAATAAACCATAAAATTGAGATGAAGAAAGTTCTAATGGTTATGAATGATATTGAATTCCTTGTTTGTCCTAGGAATGGGCTATATTTTAAGATGGAGAGCAGGTGAAAGATTTACCTCACTATTGATTTTCTTCCACATATAATTTTCCARCTTGTATCTTGCCTATTAAAAGACTCTATATCCAAGTCACTGGCACACTTAATTATAAAACTCATGGAGGTCTTTATATGAAAGCAAGGACCATGTCTGCATTAACAAAATAGATAGCAAGAGTAGTTCTAGACAGTGGTGCTGAGATCTTGAAGCCCTTGCTGTAGGTGTTCTGAGGAATAGGTCTGGCCAGCTCTAGTTTGTCCCTTAGACTGAATACCCATGAGAGGCTAGAGTGAATCTGGAGCACATCCTACCATTTTCTTTCATTTGAAAGAAATCCAGTTTATACAGTGTGAGACTGCTCTAGAACACCAACCAAATYGCAGTAGATGATGTGCTTCAAAAGTGTATTCCTAATCTGAATTTAAATGCAAGGCAAATACCTTGTTTTTATGTTGGAGAAAAGGCAGAACTATACAAATGACCATAAATGTGCGAGACTGCAGACATGTAATATGTTGGAAATTGTTATATCTTGGTGTGTGTGTGATGTCAATGAAATTTCATAATAAGATTACTACTAYGTTTTGTACTTTTTAAGGTTTTGATTCAGCTTCATCAAAGCCAGGACAAAGAAGTACAGAATACTCTAGTGAAGGGAAGACTGTTTGGAAAGAAAATGACGGAATTGCAAATAGTCTTTTGGTGAGGGCAGCCACCAGGAATGTGGGAGACCYAGTTCTATAGATTCCTGTTATTCAGTGTGGAACCCCTCCAGCTGGAGAAATTAGGGCATACTTGCCAAACATAGCCACTAATGTGCTTGTTATGAAAGAGAGTGTGGAGAAAGGGCTTGAACCTATCTCTTCCATATCCTGTCCCTAGAGAGGGCACTAACCACCACCCTTTTGAGTTGACAGACAGATCTTCCATGTGTAAAGCCTCTGCTGTTGAGTGCTAATCCCACCATGAACCAGATTAATCTCTCCTAGGAGAYATTATCWTAGAATCATAGAAWGCTTATGGTTGGAAGGGACCTCAGAGRTCATCTAGTCCAACCCCCCTGCACACGCAGGSTCACCTAGAGCACGTGGCACAGGGCTGCGTCCAAGTGGGTTTTAAAGATCTCCAAAGAAGGAGACTCCACAACCTCTCTGGGCAGCCTGTTCCAGTGCTTTGTCACCC